GGAAGGTTCATGTAAACTTTTGGATGTTGTGTAGAACTGTTTATTGATACGACGGCCAGATTCAAGTAAATTCATATACTGAAAAGCAGCAGCAGAAAGAATAGCAATATGTGTATACAGTAATAATGTACGTTTGGTTACTGGAGGCATTTTAAATATATAATAAAACCGTGAAAAAAATTTTATAAGGAAAGAAGGGGTAGGGGGGTGGAGGATTGTATTCAGTTACAATAGACCCCGTCCCAATAGATTTCCATTACATATAGTCACAACTTAATGATAGGTCAAAAGAAGTCTGAAAAAAGAAGTCTAACACATGCATTATGAGATTCGCTTAACGACGAGCTATAAAAACTGAGTTACCTGTTTATGAAATTATTTTTTTTCTGTCAAAACAATTTATTCAAACAAAAATGGGAAACGTTCCAGGAGCCGTAAGATTCACTGAAAATGACAAGCTTTACTTGCTCAAAATAGTAAAGAATGTTCTACCATCTGGAGCTGATGAATGGAACGAAGTGTGCCAAATGTACATGGCAGGAAAAAAGAAGCAGGTCGCAGAAGAGAATGAGGCCATCAGATTAAGTACTGGAAAGAAAGGAGTCAAGACTGCTTGTGAGCGTACGGTTACGTCTTTGAGGACTGTATACAAGTCTTTGAAAGCAATGAAGGGACCCACAGGTAAATTAACATAAATCTGATGCATACGTAGTAAAACCTTATTAACAATGACATATGAAAACAATTCCCTGTTAGGAAGCCCCGCCTTGACCGAAACCGTCAGAATCGCAAGGGAAATTGAGGAGCTCATAACCATCAAGACTTCTAAATTGGAATGTGGAGCTGATGAAAGTCCAGTACCAAACAATGCGAATCCTGTGGAAGCTGTCTATGGTGCTAATGGCTTTCGGTCAATTGATGAATTGGCTGAGGAGAGCGCCAAGGCGTGCGATCAAGATGCACCATCTCCTCGTTCGGTTGCAAGAACTGTCCCAATGCCAAGAAAGTCCAGGGGGGCACACCAATATATGGAGGACTTCAATAGTCATTTTGGTGTCCTGGCAAGTGCCATTGCTTCGTCTCTTGGGCAGCAAGAGAGCCCTGCCCCTTCCTCCTCCAGTCTGAACAGTATGAACGATATCAATCTGGAGATGATTGACAACCGTCTTGGAGGTGTTGACAATGCCTTGGAAGATGTTAACATTCGACTGGAGGCGGTCAAAAATGATATGAAGAATGAGCTGAACGATGTCAAGAAGGAGTTCAGCGAGTTGAAGGAGGCGGTAATATTTAACTATACTTTCATGAATTTAAAATTTGAGCTAACCGAATCAAACATAGATGATGACGATGTTTGATTACATCAAAACATCAGTGGCCAAGGTAATATCCATTGTGATATATTTTAGGTCTTGTATTTACTAAAAAATGCCTTTTTTTTTCATTTTTTTAGGAACCATCTCCTACTTCTTCTGAAAAGGGTAAAAAAGTCGTTTCAAATAAGCGTAAAAGAGTACAATAAAATTATTTTTTTATAAACAAACTCTTCGCAATACATTTATTTTACTTTCATAATCCTTAAAGCATATTGCATGCAAAGTTTTAAAAGAAAATGTAAAAGAGATTTTTTTTTTTTGAGTTAATTTTTTTTTGAAGTTAATTTTCAAGTTAATTAAGGGGGGTGGGGGGTGTCAATTAACTTTTCTCCATTTAAGCAGTAGAAAATGTCTTGAAATTAAGGTTAATTTTTGGTTACACATCATAAAAAAAATTTTTAAGTCCGTTTAATTTTGATGAATTAACAGCTTTGGAAGTCTTCCAATAATTAAATAAAAAATATATTTAATATAATAAAAACCTTTTGAAAACTAAGCAAGTCTATCTGTTCCCCTCATGATGTTGTTTCTTCTTAAGATAGACATTGCCTTAATACGGCGCATACCTGCAGCATCAATGGTAGCATCGGTACCGAGGAAAGGAAGCGGAGGTTCGAAGTTCACTTCATTTTCAAATTGGTTTCTACGGTCTGCCTCTACAAATCCCTCAAAATCCAAACTTCCATCCAAAATTGCCTCTTCGATATCATTTTGGTTTACACAAACGTTTTGCAAACCACAGCAAGATATGACGGTTTTAGCCATTCTATCAACGCTGAGAATATACAAGTGCTTCCAAAGGAATCTCCACCTGAACGTGAGCCCACCAAATGCTTGTTCAATTTTAATTCGAGAACTAGAAAAGGTTGCATTGAAAATTTTTTCTTCCGCAGTGCTTTCACGTCGGCCATGGAATGGAACAATGAGATTTGGCAGCAAAGGGTAAGCCGAATCTAGGTCTCATCGTTAATGCTTTGTATACCTTGAAATAATTAATGAACTTACCTCCCAAAATATAAGTCTTTGCAAGACACCATCTGGCCGCATCCTACAAAATTTTGATACATCACGCTGCTTGTGATTACTCTAGCATCATGGTTTTTGCGATAATATAATAACAAACGGTAAGCTGCTGTGTCATTTTTTTATCCTTCCACATGAACTTACCGGAATGCCCAGTTTCTACGTACATAAACCGAGTACGGGCATCACAAATTGCCATCGAATTCATGAATGCATGACTCTTTCTATCGACATACGCGTTTCCATTTATTGCTGGTTTTTGGATCACAACCAGTTTGCCATCAATTGCACAGAGTACACCAGAAAGTCTCGTGGCACCAGGTCCACCAAGTTCTGCAAACTCACGAGCATTGTTCAAAGCTCTCTGTCTATCTTCGATGGGCCATGTTATAAGTTCGGGAGTAATCTCCAACATGGCATCAATAAATCGGTTAGTGAAATTATTGAAAGATCCGGCAGTTACTCCAAGATGAGTTTCGGCAATTCGATAACCAAAATGCGTGTTAGCAAATCTCCAAAGCACATACGCAACTTGAAGTTCTACAGAGTAACCACCTCGCAGAATTGACCCAAGATAAGCAGCACATCTACTCAAACGATTGACGAGCCACTCGAAGGTCGACTTGTTGACTCGATAATGAGCTCTATAGCTATGGCGGCTGTTACGATCGTCGTTCAAGTGGGGATGTTTTATCGTCCAGTATGTTTCGTACGTGTCCATACGCTCGGTTCTAACAACCCTTCTGTGCGATTCTCGGGTCATCAGCCCGGGGTTGCTTATGAAGATGTAATAAAAGATGTCACAGTTGATTAAAGTGGCTGCATGCAAAATTGTTTCTCTAACCCGAAGTTGGAACAAGGAATAAACGTCATAGTTGCCTTCAAGACGAGCATAGTCGCAATAATGTTCTCTTCGGCAATGGCAACCTCTTGTTCAAGCATTTCCTCTTCTAAATCGAACTCTTCGTCAATTCTAATGATTTCTTCCATCACGGCATCGAAGTATTGATCTTCGTCTTCAAAACGGTCAGCATTTCCCATCCAAAGTTGCTCTTGCATTATATCGAAAAACGTTTCGTCAATTGGGTTCATGGTAAATAGGTACTTTAAAAAAAAATTAAAGATAAGCCAAAAGGAATATTCCGTTTTTTTATTAATAAAATCACGTTAGGTCTTTTAGTAAATTTGAAAGTGAAGAACCGTCACGGCATCACCTGATCGATGAAATCATTTTTTTGTCCAATTTAAAAAAATCCGTTCACACCCAAAAAAGGGGTCCACCGGCTTTTCGAATTTTACCTTCAGATCACCTAATATCGACAGCACCAACATCCCGAACAGCAGAAATAATTGCGATCACGTTGATTCCAATAATAATGCTCATAGACAAACAACCCCGGCTCCATCAATTCATCGTTCATCAGCAACAGGTTCCACAAATAGAAATGAACCAGTAGATTAGACGGATGCATTGGCAGACATTCGTGAGCTTCATGAGCAGATGAGAGAAGAATTACAGAATTCAACTAGGCAACTTGTTGCAGCCCTTCTTGGATCGGACGAGGAAAGGGCCCTGAAGAGGGCTAGAGAAGAGGAGGAGATGGTGATAATTCGTCGACAAGAACGAGACCGTCAAGAAGAGATGAAAATGCTGCGTCGACAAGATAGAGAAAGACGAGAGGATATATTGTATCGTAGATCCCGGGATGATGCTTTGCTTGCCGAAGCCAAAAGAGCAAATGACATTTACGAATCTAGATCAAATCAACAATAAACGTTCAACTATATTAATTTATTCAAGTTCATTCCGGACTTCCGTACGTCTTTCTTCAGCTTTTCTTTTCAGTTCTCGCATGAGTGTACTCATCTCTCTTTCACTAAAATCACTTTCAGATAGATGACTGATCGTGAACTCGGCACCATCATTATTATCGGATAATTGAAAGGCATCCAACATTCCATCATTGGCGTGAAGCATTTCACCGTCATCAATACACAAATTATGTAAAACGCAGCACATAATTGCTCTACAACATCTGTTTACGTCTTTCAAGTACAAATGCTTGAAGAGAAATCTCCATTTCATTAGCAGATCAGAGAAAGCATTTTCAATCAATTGTCCTGTTGTTGAATGTATTTTGTTGTAAAGTTTTTGACTAGCTGTGAGCCCGCGTGATGACTGCCTGCCGCGAGATGCGATATAGGGAGTTAGCAGCTGAGGCAAGAGAGGATACGCTGCATCTAAACTATAGAACCAATTAATTAAAAATTAGAGAGATCCTTAACAATAATTTAAAAGTATGTACCTCCAACTATAAAAGTTCTCTCCAAGCATGTGGTAGATTCACGGAAGATTAGATCGTCGTAAAGAGGACTTCTTTTAAATACTCGTGCATCGTGAAAGCTGCCTAAACACATCATGATAATTAGGTAAGACGTACACACTCCATTTTCTAAACTTACCTGGTAAGCCTGTTAAAATATTGATGAATCGTTTCTGGTCATCGCAAACTGCCATAAGACTCATACTGATTCCACCTTTACGATCGGCATAACAACACCGTCATTGGCCTTTGAAGGCTTATGGATCGAAAAAAGTTTTCAATCGATGGCACCAATAACTTTTTCCAATCTTCGGTGTCCCTTCTGGGTATCTTTTGCAAATCCATTCGGAATAGCTCTAGTTCTTTGAACAGTCGTAGACCATGTAATCGCTCTGTCCATTATATCGGTACTCATAGCGCCGATGAACCTGTCCGTGAATTTGTTATAGCTACCGTGACTACAACCAAACTGATCCTTCGCCATTCGATATCCAAAATGAGTGTTGCAAAATCTCCACATAACAACAGCAACTTGCTTCCACACAGGCCAATTGGTATCTCGCTCAGAAAGGTTCGCGTACTGTTAAGTTTCACTAAGCTAATTAACAAGCAATTGGAATGTACTATACTTAAGGTAACTCGATAGTGTTCCTTAAACGTACTTTGTCGCACTGCTCTACCACTGCTGTCGAGAAGAGGTTCGTCGGTCAAGCTAGGTTGCACGATAGTCCACCATTGTCTCTCCGTTCTACCATCATTACTTCTCCTTCTGACTAAAGTAGCTTCCATATGTTGGATACCACCGTTATAAATACAAAATAAGACATCGTAGTTCATAATCTGAATGGTATTGATAACATTGTGTACAATTCGTTGCAGCAAAATTATTTTACATTTGTTCAACTTCTCCTCGTCATTCACTTTTTTTTGTTTAAGGTAAAGTCGTCTTTTTCTTGCTAGTCTCTGCTGCTTCAACATTTCGTAGTTTTTTCCTCTTCCTCATCTGGAAGGGAGCAAAAGACTTTAGTAGTGTTTAAACGTGAAACAATCAGGCGGTGTTCGTCCATTGGATTGCCGGAGTAGCTGGTGTTATAGTTATTATTTATTTTGATATAATAAATTGAAAGAAAGATCAAATTAAAAGCAAAAGCCTGTAGGCATTTTAGAAAAATGCAAATGATCCGGGTACCTGACGTCAGCCAAATAGTTTATTTGTAGTACGGATTGCCAAAAATTGAAAAAATCGTTTTTGGAACAAAAACCGTCCGGACGCCTAAAAACCGTCTGGACGGTCTTGGTGTGAAGGCCTATTGTTTCCACTTCTTTGACTTTGTATTATTTTTAGTAAGTGGTACGAACTTCCTCTTCTGATATTTGGTCTTCTTTAGCCTGATTTCAAGTTCTACCGGAATATCCATGTCGATGTCCGTGTCAAACGGAATGGTGCGGGTCGGACTGCTTGGTACTTTTATCGTAGGCATATATACCATTTTGGTATTGACAAATCTATCAGTCTTGTAATAGGTTAAGTAGTGTATATAAGATTCAACTCTCAGTGGTTAATCAGTAAGTAAGCAAGCAAGTACTTGAAATTATAAAATAGAAGATAATGTTTATTTGATACAAAGCTAGGAGCTATTTATACTAGTTTGGGGAATTAAGAATGTGATAATAATGTGATAATATAATAGGGGTCCTCAGTCGTCGAGGTTTTAAAAATAATATTTTTTGAATAAAAATAATTAGCCAATCATAAATATAATTACATTTTTACGAATGAGGACCCCAAAATATATTTTGAGTTTTAATGCTTCATCAATGACGTAAATATGACATCAGTCTGTGCCTGACAAACTTTATTTTGACTTCTTATATAAAGCTTATTAGCTTGTGAACAATTTGAGGCCACTGCTTATACATTTTTATAACAATAAACTTAAAATGAACTCTGATAACATGCAACAATACTCTGAAAATACAATTGGTGTCTCAGGTGACAAAGGTAAAGGCAAAGAAGTCATTACCGTTTGCGAAATCAATGACAATGAGAAGCCCAAGGAGACTACCCCTAAGGTGACAGTCAAGAAAGGTGGAGGTAGACCTAAAGGATCACATAACCGCCAAAAGGAGCCCAAGGATGACAAGGTCACAAATGAGGTTGGTAGCAAGGAAACCGAGGCCAAGAACACCGGCATGACCTTAATCGCGGTCAAGGACGAAGCTGCTGTCACCAGTTACCATCCTTGGGAGGCAATTGATAAGCATTGCAGCGATAACATTAGCTATGATGACAGACTTATTGATTTCCTCTTTGAAGACGGAGGGATCAATATGCGCAAGTACTTGGGATCGACTAAATCCTTCAACAAGGATGGGGCCAACCACGGAAAGGATGGTGAGACTCCGGCGGCTGTTCTTTCTCGGTGTGTGAAGTACTTTGTGGACCGAAACGTATTATGTCGAACAAGTTCTAGCATCCGGTCAAGAATTCGTAAGATTATGTCCAACTATCGTGATGCATATAGGAAGGATACGCAAAGTGGCGAAGGTGCAATGGGTAACACCGGCGAGTCTGGAAAGAAGGAATTCGAAAGTAAGTAAAAATATATATTATACATTGTCAGCCACATAGAGATATTAAAATTATCGTTTCATTTCAACAGATGCATTGAACAAATTTGTCCCCATTATTATCGTATCAAGGAGATCATGGGTGATTGATATACCGAGTCTGCGTACCCTAATGGCTCTGCTTATCAACTTCCTTTCTCAGGTACACGGGGAGCTGCGGTGGTAATCGTAAGTGATGATGAAGAGGTCAGTTCCGCAATTGATTCTTCGGATGAAGATGTTAAACAGGTAGAAGTACCTAAAAAAGAGGAATCTTCTTCTTCGAATGACAAGAAGAAAAAGAGAAGCAAGTCGGTGATTTCCTCGACAGCCACGAAAGCAATCCGGGAAGATGCAGAAAAAGCATTTCAAAAATCAACAGATCGTTTTTTTGATGCCAAGACTCGTGCCGCCATTTCAAGATAAGATTGGATGGGTTAAACGCTTTTGCTTTGGCTAAGAATTGGGGCTTTGATGAGTTGACTGAAGCCATCAGAAAGTTGCAAAATGAGATTTTCGGTGATAATAATAATAATGATGATGATGATATCTAAATTATATAAACTTTATTAATAAATTTTTTTTTAACTACTACGTCTTCTCATTTCTTTTCTTTGTTTCATCTCCTCCAAAACAATGTTTTTGATTGCTTGGTATTTTTCTTTTCCACTTTCGGTGACGTCGGTATTGTTGCTGGTTTCATCGGAAGAGGATTGAACTCCATCTTCTAATTGCTGCAGTTCCAATCTTTCTTTCTCTTCAAATTGCTTTTCCAAAATAGCGGTAAAGCTATCGCTTTCACGGTCGATCAGAAAGTTATTAAAGCAATACAGACACGAATCCATCCACTGGCATAAACGACATCATCTTTTGATTTGATCTTCAATCGTAATTGCTTCAGACTTTGGAATCGAGCTTACAGAATCCCAAAAGCATGTTCAATTTTAATTCTCATTTGAGAAATATATGTATTGAACTGCTGGTCATCATCGGCTGTCGTTCCATTTCTTGGCTTCTTGCTCACAGGTACCAGGTAGTTTGTAGGAGAGTATCCTCCGTCACCCAAGACATACTCGTTTCCAACACAATATTTTGACGGGTTTTTTCCCATATCACTTTCGGCAAGTACACGCATGTCATGGGAACTTCCAAAGTAACCAGTCTCTACGTACCGGATTCTTCGTTTATGGTCACAAATCGCCATTGTCTGAATGGAGTGACTACCCTTTCTGTTGTAAAATTCGTTTTCTCTCCAAACAGGTGCATCCTCCAAACAAATATGTGTACCATCGATAAACCCAAGACAGTCAGGGAAACCCAGATAAGATTGGTTAATGGTTTTGATAACCACTTTTTCTTCAGGTGATGGCCAGCTGACAAACTGATCTTCCATTGACAGAATCACCTTAAAAAAACGAGTAGTAAAAGCTACAACTGCGCCCTCTATTGGCAAAAGAATACATTTTAATTTATTACTGCATACCAATTTATTTCACTGCAATAATGACTACATACCACTGACACCAGATCGTCTAGCAATTTTTTCAATTGAAGAACCGTTTCCATATGTTCCCAAACGTTCTAAAACGATAGCCAATTGAAGGCGGATATCTGTTTGGCGATTTCGGGGTGTATCCTGATACAATGGATGGTCCTGGATCAGTTTCAAAAGCGCAAAGAATGAGTCTTTGTCCATTCTGACTTCGTTAACAAATCCACTGTCGTCAATTTCGTTGAACAGGAAATCCAACCTTCTTTCTTTGGTCACCAACTTTGGAACTTTGTTTTCTCTACTAGCTACATATCTCTTGGATCTAATATATTCCAGCATTTGTTTGTCCACATCATTTTTCAAATTTTGACGATAAAAAGCAATTAAATCATTAATATCTTCCTTCTCAGCATCATCAAGAGTAGGATTCTTTGCAAATTCTTTCCATAATGCGATTTGTTTTCTGGTGAGTTCTTTTTTCATATATAGCTATTCTTGTAAGCGTTGTATTCTCTTTGCTTGGTACTTTGACGAGGCATAATTAATGTTTTTTTTTTTTAAAAGAAAAAGAGTTGAAAGTAGTGAAAAAGAAACTTAATAATGCATTTTTCTCATGATTTTTTATTGTTTGACATTACCTCAATTTCAGTTACACTGGAATTTTTACGTCGTTATGACGTAATTTTTTATTTTTTTATTGTTTTTTTATTATTTTTTTTCAATGAACAAGAAAAAAGTTGCTCGTTCGAATAAAAAATTCAAAAAATTCTGATTGGCTAATTTTTATTCAAAAAATATTATTTTTTAAAACCTCGACGACTGAGGACCCCTAATATCAGCTCATGTTATCCTCTGTATCTATCTGCGAAATTATCTGTGTTCCTTCCCGCTACCCCAAAGATGTCCGAAACGAAATATGGCCGTTCCCAAGCAAACTTTATTTTCAAAAACAAATCGCTCGATTTGTAAAAAGGTTTGGTCCCCCCAGTATAAGTACTAGCTTATAATTTTAGTATACTGAGAATAGCAATGTGGCCCATATACAACCAGTAAATAAGACAAGCTAGTTTAGTAATTAGAAATATTTTTTTAAGTCATGTCACACTTGTTTTTACTTTTTTGTAATTTATAGCCCCCACCTAGGAGGGTATAAATTACTAATTTGTAAATTGCCCAACCCCCCATACATTTTGGCTGGTAAAATGTTTTTTTATAGTTTAAATTACTATTTTGAGCTAAATACTTTTGTTCCCGAAACGTAAAAAATGTTTTTCTTGGGAACGGCCTATGACTAATAGTCTGTCTTTGTTAATCTGATCCCCTCAACGTTTGTTTACCCAATCTGTCAATAAAGATAAATAACAGCATGTTTATTAATTCTTATTTCTGTATTCAAGATCTTATCTATTTTTCCTGCTCTTCTGAATAAACCTTTTTCTACGTTCGTTCCTTTTTATATATGTATTAATACTAATAGATGTATAATGTCTGTTTCTTTTGTCCTCACCCTAATAATTATTCCGTTCTGCTCTTGCCCCGATCCACTCCTCACAGGCCTACTAATTGAACAGGTAATCATGATTAATTTTGTTAATAGATCTGTTCAATACACCATTACTAGAACCAGACTCCAAAGCAATGACACCATTAGAGCAGCATTGGACTAAACGAAAATGAGGTAGACTCAAAAATGGGTTACATGTTTAGAATAAAAATGTTTCAGTAAAGGTTATGA